ATGTGTGCCACAATTTATCTACTCATTCTACAAGACCCATTTTATTTTAATGGATTGGTCAAATCTTACCACCAAAAATAATGTTGTGGTAAAAAATCATACGAAGGTAATTTCCAGGGATTTCATTTCAGCTCCTAATATAAAGTTATATTTAAGATTTAGAGAATACTTATAATATTTAGGACATTTAACTTATAAAGTTGATTTTATTTTATATTTCTAAATTATTTAAATATTTGATAAAATCTTATTTAACAATTATTTAAATTAGTTTAAAAATCATTTCAGTTCATTAAAATACTATGAAAATCATATGAAGATATATAGATAGATGATAAATAGATTAGATTAGATAGATCTATTTTTCTTCCAAAGATAGGAGTAGGTATATTTCCAACATTCTGACCTATTAAATTCATACCTTTTCTAATCAAACTCTGTTTTATATTTTTTTCTATAGAATATGTCTCAACTAGTTTTGTCAAAAGCACAGGACACAACGATGTTGAAGATGTATTTGTATTATAAATGTATTAGTATAACATTTTAACCTTCGTTATTAAACCAGCTAGAAGTCTTCAGGACTTAACTGCATTCAATCTAATGCACATTAGTTAACAGAATTTCTATCACACCATTATTTGGGAACATTTAAAAATGAGAGGTAGCTAATGATATATGCAATGAAGTTGTTTTAAAATTAATATATTCATATGTCATATTAGATTAGGCAAGTTATACAATCATGTAGTACAACTACCTACCTGGAAATTGAGTTTCCTTAGAGAAATGCATATGGATAAAAATTTAGACACTTAAAACTTGTTTACCAAATTATATTATCCACAATAAGTAGTTTATACAGATGTTTCATTGTCATATTCACATTTTTATTTCTATTTTCATTATACAATAAAACATAAACATTATAAAATGATTTTCACTTACAGTGCTTCAAATAAATAAAACATAACCAGTTAAATAAAGTAAAACATAACCAGTTAAACAGCTTGTTAGATCAACATTTTTTAACATTCACCGTCTGCAAGATAAGTGTGACATATAATGTATATAATATAATTATATTAAAAAGTAAATATGTCAAGTTTTATTGAAATTAAATACTGGATCATTACAGATGCTTCCTAATATTAACAATAGTATACATGAGGAAAAAAAATCAAGTAATACCACACATTAATATTAGCAAATAACTATTTAGTGCAAAGCACCCTCAAAAAGAAATGGAGCAAATTGATGCACTACATTTCTTCTAACTACATTATTCCAAGTGTGATTTTACCAAAAGAAAAGAGATCAGAAATGGACAGTGCCCACTAAAATACTAACAGGGCAATGAATCATAATAGAAAAACAGTTTTTAAATTCATGACAAACAGAATATACATATATTATATGTAGGGACAAAGCTGTTGTTATATATATTATATTTATATTATAATATATAATATGTATAACACATTATATATATTATTTATATTATATGGAGGGACAGAGGTGTTTTATATATAATATATATTACATATAAATATATAGTACATTTATATATATATATATATATATAAAGTCAGACTCCATCTCAATTAAAAAAATATACTCTCTCTATATAGTATATTTTTAAAACTGAGATGGGGTCTCGCTCTGTTGCCCAGACTGGAGTGCAGTGGCTCAATCTTGGCTCACTGCAACCTCGGCCGCCTGGGTTCAAGCGATTTTCATGCCTCTGCTTCTCAAGTAGCTGGAACTACAGGTACAGGCCACCACGCCCAGTAATTTTTTTTTTGTATTTTTAGTAGAGATCGGGTTTCACCATGTTGGCCATTCTGGTCTCGAACTCCTGACCTCAGGTGATCTGGCTGCCTCAGCCTCCCAAAGTGCTGAGATTTCAAACATGAGCCACCATGCCCAACCAACAAATTTTGTATATATGTGTTGTATATATATACACATACGCATATACACACACACACACACATATATATATATATATAGGCTCCATTCATTCCACATGAATACCAGGTTTTGTTTTATGAAATTACTTCCATTGAAGAAATAGACACATTAACAAAATATTATGAGACTCTACTAAAAAAGTTTTCATGTGAGTATAATGGATGGCATATGCTTGGGAGTTATGAGTACAACAGAAAAACACAAACCATTCTCGAGTTGCAAGGAGGAAAGTAGAACATATTCCCAAGAAACAATAGATACGCAGCAATGAATGGAACTTAGCCAACAGGAAAGGAGGAACAAAGCTGTTTTATAAAAAGGTAAAAATATATACATATATATGAATGTTATGGAGATGTGAGAAAAACAGAGTGAGTTCAGGAATTTCAAATAGTTCAATATGGGTGAAGGTCAGCGTGCTTAACAGAGAGTAGCGGAATGAAATGAGAACACTAGACAAAGTCTGGATCACATAAGATGTTAGATTTTATCCTGAACAAGCAATAAAGAGCCATTTGAGTGGCTTAAAACACAGGGAGTAAATAATCAGATTTACGAATTAGTCTAAAACTTTAGAAAGTTTTGGGGAAGCCACTCTGAAAGGACAGCAAATCGGAGGCTATTGCAACAAATTCTGGTATTCAGAGTTTCACAGTGTGCTCTGAGCAGAATAATTTACCTGTGAGATTGTCAGCAAGAAAGAGGTTCTGTAAAATACGTCATACTTTACGCGGCTCTTGGCAATTCACAAAGTATTCTAAAAGTATCCTACAATTAAGAAATACATCTGTTTGTTTAATGCACTTCCCAAATTTTGTTTTCTTTTTCTTCCTTTTTTAAAATAGGTAAATCATTTTTACATAACATTTTATTAAGAATCAAATAATTAGTGGCCTATAATACAAGCTATGGGAAAATTTTACCCTAAACAGATGGGTGCTAGGGTGAAGAAAGAGAGACGCAAAGGATATGAGAATTATTTCCAAGGCAGAATGAAAAAAAGTAGGTATGGACTAAATGTGGGAAATGAAAAACAAGGAAATTTAGAAAATCCCCCAGTTTTCAGCTTGAAAAATTGAGGATTTGTTGTTTACATAGTTTATATCAATTAATAAAATATAATTTTGTAAATGAGCAAAGAGAGAACTATGAAGAAAATTTGTAAATTCTATTTATGTCTTTGTGGTAAACTACCTAAAAGTTAATGCTCTAGAACAAAAGGAGAAGATAATCTATAAAGGAATGAGTTATAAAATGGCCAATGTTATTAAAAACTCTTATAATAAAAGTTTGAAATAAGGTGTGGAGTGAGAGCTAGCACATGGAATTATTAGCAATAATTGAGGAGTGTGGCAGCTGCAAATTCGTAGGTACCAGGTAGCTGAGAAAACCTGTCACAGAAGTTTAGAAAGTGAAGAGAAAGCGTAGAGTGTGTAAGAGAAGAAACAGTATAAAACAACAAAAAAAGACGATTCCATTTAATCTTTACATCATGTAAACATATAAGAGAATATCATTCATTTCCCGTAAATATATAAAATTATTATTGCAAATAATAATAAACAGAACACTTGAGTGAAGAGATGAAAATAATTTAGACAATAGTAGGAGAATAATTAGGTAAACCTGTCAATTTCTTTTTTGACTCCTTCATGGCTTCCACGTCCTTTAACAACACGTGAGCACTGATGTTTCCTGTCCATTATCCTCTGTTCCCCTATCTTCAAACGTCCATATTGTGTATTCTTACACCCTTATTGTCCTTCAGCAACTTTCTACGTACTGAATCTTTTTCAACCCTGGTCCAACCCTGATTCCTCCCTGTGCTACAGAATTATATCTCCAAACATCCACTGTTCATATCCCCTTAGATGTTCCTCTCTCACCATACGCTAAAAATGTGCAAAATAAAACCATTTCTTGGAATGACAATCAGATCAACTCCCTCCAGTTTCCAAAACGATTGAATGGCTTCTCATGTCACTCCTCTAGCAGCCAAACACCTTAGGCACTGAACTGGGCCTACATGGTCTCAAAAGCTAAAGCCTTTCTGAACTCAACTTCTATTAATTCTTCTACTCTCTCCTCTACACTACTTCACTTCAACCACGCTCAACTTGTAACTGTCGTCTTCCTCCTCAATGATCAGAAGCTTTCCCCTTCTTATTCAACCTCTCTGCAATGCTTTATGCACTTCTATCACTGCATGGCTCGCTCTTACATTATCAGGTTTTCACTCATATGCCTTGTTATCAAGTAGATTTCCCTCAGTCATCTTGTCTTAAAATGGCATTGCTTCTCTTGTGCCCAGGGATTCTCTACCCTTATTTATTATTTCTCCTAATAAGAATCAGGCATACACTATTATACATCTTATTATTTTATAATGACTCAATTGATTATAAGCTCTTTGTAAATAGCTCTGCCTTTTGGTTCAATGTTACAGCCCTAGCACCTACATCAATACCTGACATACAGAAGATACTGAAAAGTATTAGTTGAGTCAGTTAATATTTAAATTTAACTTGAGTTAAATACAACACTTTTTTAGTGCAATCAGTATGTGATAGTTCAAATCTTTGAATTATTGAGGGAATGAACAAAATTTTAAAGGTTTATTTTATCAACAAAGAAATCAAACTTGGAATAAACCATGCTAGAAGAAGTTTTGGTGAATGAAAATTTCTGTACACCTATTAGTAAATCTAAGTATTTGCTCATCTGAAAAAATGGGAGATAGAGTCATTATGATTGTTGTCAATAAGATCAAATTAAAGTAGTGAAGTTGTGAGAGGAAGGTAGTTAAACTTTATTATTTGTCAGAATAATAAAGTGGATTACCTCGACATTGGTTAATTCGTGCATGCATATTAAAAAGTAGTCCTCCCTCAGCGCCATTTTGTGGCAGCGAGACCCACAAATAAAGGGGAGCGCTGGGGTTGCGGCGGGGCAGGCGGCAGAGCTGTCCGGCTGCGCGGGGGCCCGGGCGGCAGGGCAAGCAGCGCGGCCTCGGCCTCGGCCTGTGCGACTGGCGGCGCTGGCTTGGCTTCTGCCTGAAGAGGATTCAAGATGACCAACGAAGAACCTCTTCCCAAGAAGGTTCGACTGAGTGAAACAGACTTCAAAGTTATGGCAAGAGATGAGTTAATTCTAAGATGGAAACAATATGAAGCATATGTACAGGCTTTGGAGGGCAAGTACACAGATCTTAATTCTAATGATGTAACTGGCCTAAGAGAGTCTGAAGAAAAACTAAAGCAACAACAGCAGGAGTCAGCACGCAGGGAAAACATCCTTGTAATGCGACTAGCAACCAAGGAACAAGAGATGCAAGACAGTACCTCAAGCAAGTCCAGCAGCCGAGCGTTGCCCAACTGAGATCAACAATGGTAGACCCAGCGATCAACTTGTTTTTCCTAAAAATGAAAGGTGAACTGGAACAGACTAAAGACAAACTAGAACAAGCCCAAAATGAACTGAGTGCCTGGAAGTTTACGCCTGATAGCCAAACAGGGGAAAAGTTAATGGCGAAGTGTCGAATGCTTATCCAGGAGAATCAAGAGCTTGGAAGGCAGCTGTCCCAGGGACGTAGTGCACAACTTGAAGCAGAGTTGGCGTTACAGAAGAAATATAGTGAGGAGCTTAAAAGCAGTCAGGATGAACTGAATGGCTTCATCATCCAGCTTGATGAAGAAGTAGAGGGTATGCAGAGTACCATTCTCGTTCTGCAGCAGCAGCTGAAGGAGACACGCCAGCAGTTGGCTCAGTACCAGCAGCAGCAGTCTCAGGCCTCTGCCCCAAGTACCAGCAGGACTACAGCTTCTGAACCTGTAGAACAGTTGGAGGCCACAAGTAAAGACTGCAGTCGTCTGACAAACGGACCAAGTAATGGTAGCTCCTCCCGCCAGAGGACGTCTGGGTCTGGATTTCACAGGGAGGGCAACACAACCGAAGATGATTTTCCTTCTTCTCCAGGGAATGGTAATAAGTCCTCCAACAGCTCAGAGGAGAGAACTGGCAGAGGAGGTAGTGGTTACGTAAATCAACTCAGTGCGGGGTATGAAAGTGTAGACTCTCCCACGGGCAGTGAAAACTCTCTCACACACCAAACAAATGACACAGATTCCAATCATGACCCTCAAGAGGAGAAAGCAGTGAGTGGGAAAGATAACCGAACTGTGGGCTCCCGCCATGTTCCGAATGGCTTGGACTCAAGTGTAAATGTACAGGGTTCAGTTTTGTAATATTTTTTCAGCAAATTTTTATACAGTGTCATTTAATTTGGGAGAGGATACTTTCCAGAAAATTAATGCAAACTTTTGTCACAATTTGCCTTTTTGTGGGTGTACGTTTTGGTTTTTTGTTGTTGTTTTCTCTTTTTTTTTTTCTTTTTTCTTTTTTTTTTTTTTTTTGCTTCAATACCTCTGCCACTTTGGATATTGTAACAGTTAATTACTTTGAATGTTGCTAAAAGAACATTTTTTGTAGGGTCAAGTTATTTTTATATGAGTTAATGTGAAATTGTAAAGGAAATTTTTCCTTAAAATATAACACAATGACGTCTGTATAAATCTATGTCTGTTTAGAACCTGTGCTGTGTAAGGGCATTCTTCCTCATGCTGTTACTGTACTTATGCACCATTCAGACTTGTTAGAGTAGATGTGGGTTTATGACTGCCAAGTTTGCCCAGTACAGTAGTTTTTTATCACTAAAAGTTGGACTCATTGATGGAGTCCTGTAGTAGTTTCAGTGTTAGATACAGTTTTTTCCACCATACATCTGTGCATTTTCTCTTTAGGTGACTGAATGTTTAAGAAATTTGTGTGCATAGTTACTCAGTTTTTATGAACTGTTGTATCCTGTTAATGCATATTGCTCTGTGACTCCAGTATATCTTACCTGTACTGACCAAACCTAAATAAAGATTTTTATTGTAACTCCTTAAAAAAATAAATAAATAAAAAATAAATAAAAAGTAGTCATGTAAAATTATAAATAAAATATAAACATTTACAACTGGGAAAAAATAAAATATGATTTTAAAAGTTTAATTAATTTGGCTGAATTAGCAGATGAAAACAACACAAATAAATAAATGGTGAGTTAAAAAATAACTGGAGTTTGAAAAAAGCAGATCAAATATATCTATAATTGATTTACTCCACAATATTATCCTGAAAGTCTCATCCAGTAGAGTAAGAACATAACATACTTAAGAACATAACTTAAGAAAAACATCATAAAAAAAGAAAGAACATAATTATTATTTGTAGGAAATACAGTTGGGTATATAGAAAATTCAAACAAATCTGTCAGCAACTATTTAAAAACATACTGAGTTTCACAAGGTTGATTGAATGAAAAAAATCGATAAAAACAAAAGCAGTAGCATTTCTATACATCAACAGTAAAAACATTATATATCATATGATAAAATATGATAATAATTACTCCCATATGTTACTTAAATATTAATCTAATAAAATAATTGCCAAATGGTACTTGACAAAATATGCAATTCAATGATGAATCAATAATTATATGCAGGGATGTGAGTACTCAATGTTTAAAACAATTCAATTACTCAATAAATTCAATGCTATTTCAATCAAAATTCAAAAGACATTTTTTTGAAAGAACCAGACAAACTAGAAAACCACAAGTCCATACATTCATGAAACAGAAAAACAAAACTGGAAAATTGATATACATTATGTCAGAAATTATTACGAAAAGTTATTAAATTAGCAGGTGAGTGGGGAAGATTCTCTGCAAACACACACACTTTATACATTCATATATTCATCTAATTAATTATTCATCTATTATTATACTATATAAGATAATCCTTTTTTTTTTTTTTTTTTTTTTTTTGAGACAAAGTCTCTCTCTGTCACCCAGGCTAGAGTGCTCGAATCCTGACCTCAAGTTATTCATCCACCTAGGCCTCCCACAGTGCTGGGATTACAGGCAAAGAATACTATGTTGAGCTGTTGCGTAGAAATAATTCCATATATGTGACAAATTAAGAACATTTACATTAAATGATTAATACATTTGTCTGCTTCAAAATTTAAGTTAAATGTCACAGTAAGACTTGCACATGTAATATAAAATTTAAAAACAAAACAAAACAAAAAGCTTTCACATTAAGTAGCATTGCCTTTGGTAATGTTCCGAGTCAAGAATGCTCTTATACTACTGATTAGACTAAACATATGTCCATCTTTTGAAATCAATTTTCCAGCAGCTAATAAAGCTTAAAAAAAAAGATTATAAAGTTTGAATCAGCAAATAGGCATCAAGCTCCCGAGAAACACTTGTACATAAGTACTCAGGAGGCAGAGACAAGACCTTGCCTTATTATTTGTAGACTTAAAAACTGTATATGTCATCAATGAATAGCAGGAAAAAATTGTCTGAATACATGGTTATCTATTTATGTTATCAAACACTATGAACCAAATGAAATTGTAAAAATTAGATCTATTTATAACAATATAAACAGACCTAGAACTTAACTTATTAAAAGTACAATTAAAGTGCAAGCTTACAATAACTTTGACATAAAAATGAAACATTGGCTTATTCCATGGCTCATGTATATAATCCCAGCACTTTGGGAGGCCAAGGTGGAAGGTTCACTTAAAGCTAAGAGTTCGAGACCCACCTGAACAACAAAGCAAGGTCCCTATCTCAAAAGTAAAAATAAAAATAAAAATAAATAGCTGAGAATGGTGGAGCATGTCTGTAGTCCCAGCTACTCAGGAGGTTGAGGCGAGAGAATCGCTACAGCCCAGGAGTTAGAGGTGGAAGTGTGCTATGATTGTGTCATTGCACTCCACCCTGGGTGACAGAAACTCCATTTTTGAAAAATAAATTCAAAAAAATCAAACATGTGCAATCAACAATACATATTGCTTATAGATATATTCCTATCTAGTAATAGAATCAACAATCGGAATTTCATTTTTATTATTGGTTGGTTCTGTATAATATAAGGGAAAGGAAGGGGAAATTCAAATTTATATGTTTTATCCTGTTCCTTTTACTTAAAAAAATTCAGAAATAATATAAAAATACAGTGGTTTTATATTGTTTTGTATATTTTTGTTTGAGTATTTTATAATAAAGAAAACATCATAAATAAAATTTAAAATATATAAAGGAAAATACATAATCAATCACAAAGACCTCTGGGGATTTTTCCAGACCTGTTTTGTCAATTTCATTTTAATTATCATGTTATATTGCTTCCTCTGTTCAGAGACCTCAAAAATGCTTTGTTCAATTAGAATTGTTCAACTACTTACTTTTTTTCTCCCACATTTCACACAATTCCAGTTGCCTAGAAAGCTGGCAACTATAGAATTACTTTGCTATCATTTAAAAATATTTTCATAAAGAATTAATATAATTTTTAATCATCTGTTAAAGATAATTTTTTTAAAACATTATCAATACAGCTTTATATTTTTAAAATAAAATTGGGAAAAGTTACTATTCATATAAATTTTAGTTGTGTTCAATGTTCTTTAATGTACGTCTTACTATTTTGTCCTTGACTTTACATTTATTAGAAATTTGAAAATAGATGTTTTACACTTTATAGTATGACTATACTTGTGTGTCTGCAGAACAAATTAAAAACTCTATATAGAAGTATTATTTGTCTAGATACACAGCCTTATAAAACACTTACCAATAGAATACTGCCTATACTGAGAGAAACTATCTTGCTGCCTGTTGTCTCGAAATGCCTTTCTAAATTGTTTGAAGGAGAGCTTTTGTTGCTATATGGTAGAAAGGTAACTCTGATTGCAAACTAGAATTCCTACAGAAGTCTAGACTTTATTGACATTTCTACAAAATGGGAGAAAAGTTGTTCAGACAATGAAATTCGGTGTCCTAAGAAAATAAAGTTTCAACTTAAAAATGTTAAAAAGCATTTGGAAGAAAATACACAACTGACCACAAATACCTCACCTTCAAACTACAACAGAATCACAGCATAACTTTCAGGCATTAAAAATAAACCATCAAACTAATATATCTATCTGTATATAAAGAAAGAGATAAAATACATATAGTTTAATATGTCTAGGGTTTCAAAAAACCTATAATAGTAGTAGTAATCAAGTAAAGACACTAATGATTAATTTCAAATTGAAAGAAAAAGACTCCATTAGACTATTAATATTTAATCCAGCCATCAATATTAAATAAAATATTATGAAAATTGCATTGTTTAGAAAATTGTACATGAAAGAAAATACACTTTTCCACTTCCTCTTTTTAACATTAGCCAAGCACAAAACATACCCAGAAATCTATTGCTTTGACATTGGCATTGATAAAGAATTAGTTCTTAACATTTGTTTTTAAATAAATCTCCAGGAAATGCTGATATAAACCATCAACCTTTGGTGCTGCAATATTTCCAGGCGTACAGTTTTGAAATAGATTTCAGGTTGTCTGGGCCTCCCAAATAAACAGGCTGATTCAAACACCACATTTACAGTAATTCAATATGCCTGTTAGATAACAGGAAAATAAATACAGCCAAATTTCAACAGTGGTTATATGGTTGCATTGTGTCTGGTCACCACTTTATTTATTACTGCTTGTGTGTATTTTCTCCTTTCTGTTTAATGACTGTGATTATTATGATAGTATTGTTTTGTTTCTTTCTTAGGCAACAAAAATATTCAATTAAAGGCAAGTTAGAAAACAGTTAAGATTACCTATATTATTGAGAGAAGGATAACTTTAGAAGCCTTTTTTTTTTTTTACATTTTTTAAATCTAGTAGTGTCAATAAAGCAAGGCTAATAATTAACCCCACCAACAATGCTATAAGTACTAGCTCACCTATTTCACACAATACCTTTCTAAGAATCATGTATTCAATTACTACTCTTTGGGATTGAGCTACATTGACAGCTTCCTCAGCTAAGTACACGTCTTTCTTTTATTTGTTCTAATTAGAACCAAGTACAAATGTGCAATTCTTACCAGAAAGTTTTTCAATATTTCATGACACTCTTTATGATATGCAAAAAAGCTGTCTCACCATCATATTATCTGCATAATTCTATCATCTTATACATATTTATTAATTATGTGCTCTACCAAGCCTCAAGATATACACAAAGATGAGGAAGACAGACTCTAGTCACTGCTCCCTCAGAGATAAAGAATTAGTAACAAAGACATGCAGGCATGAAGTAATTACTTGCGACTTACTAGATTTGTCACCTTGGACCAGTTACTACAACCAGGGTCTGATATTTAGTTTGAAAATTGAGATAATAATATGTTGGCATCAACCTCAAGTGGTTGTTGTAATGACTAAAAGAGTTAATGAATGCCTGACATGTAGTCAGAGCTCCATAAATATTAGTTGCCAAGTTCTCATCCCTTTACTGCCTCAGCCGCATAAAAAGGCTTTAGGATCCAAAAACAAATACAAATAAACCTAGAATACAGGAAGGCTTTCTGGAGAAATGTCACTAATGTGGAGACTAATTCAAAATCATTTTAGAATATTTCTGGCTGAGGAAGCTGTCTACTTGAAGGTCCTGGGGAATAAGAGCATATGGCAAAGACCAGAAAGGAGCCAAAATGTCCAGTAATGAGGTTGGTTAAGAGACACAAAAAAATACTTTTAGATGAGGAATAAGTTCTAGTATTTAATAATAGAGAAATTAGAGATAACAATAATTTGTTGCATATTTCAAAATGGCTAGAATAGATTTGTAATGTTCTCAACACAAACGGAAGATAAATATTTGAGATGATGAATATCCCCATTACACATTGTAAACAGGTATCAAAATATCACATGTACCCCGAAAGATGTACAACTATTATACATGAATCTAAAAATGTTAAAGTCCACTAAAAAGACCAAGAGGAGAGACAGTGAAACTTGAGATTGAAATGTTGGGC